CTTTTTCGCATACTGCTTGTTGCCGCTCGCATAAAGTTAGCTGAAATTAACCAGCTAGATTTCACTGTTTCTCGTTATTTTTTTCTCCCGCTGCACCTCCCTTGAAGCTCTCTGGCGCCCCCTAAGGGAGGCGCGCCTCACACTTTGAAAACCGCTGGTCTATATGATAAAGAACTTTAGCGGATACAACTGAAATCGTCTCCGTGTGGACGGGGCCTTAATTTGTAGTCACATTAAGACTTAAACCTCTAAAGTGCCAGCCTAGACAGATTTACATATTTTATATTATATTATTTATACTATGTTTGTTGGATAGTTGCAGCAACTGCAGCTAATAGTGATCACCGACTTTTAGTTTAAAATCATCTAAAGAGATAGTTCTCTAAAGTGAAAGCTTGCAGATGCAGAAGGCTCCAGGGCCGTATAGGACAGGTTTGTCAGCTTTGGTGCTGATAGAAGGCAATTTGTGCCAGATTACGATCGTTAAATTAAAAACCTCTGTCTTTAGTCGGTAGGAAATATACCTGAAATGATCTAATGTTAATGTCAGGAGGTCAGGTTTGACAGAGGAGCAGCTGCAGGAGCAGTGCGGCGCCAGAGATTTTCTCTAGTGGGTGCTGTGGGGTAGCTTGACGTTTCATAGAGGGTGCTCAAACATTTAGGGTTTCCCATTAATGCATCAGCGCTACAGTTGAATTCTCTACTGCAACACTCCCCACGCACACACACACACAGTGCACCCGCGACTGTTACAATGAAGGCTCGATAATCAGCTCACGGCATATAGGCAGGGGTAAAGTACTATTTTTACAAGTGGGGAGCGGACCTCACCTCCTCTAGGAGGGTCCTCACCTCCTCTAGGGGGGTCCGGGGGCATGCTCCCCCGGGAAGATTTTTTTTAAAATATTGAAGTTAAAAGCATCAATCTGGTGCACTTTGAGAGCAACATTAAGAGATCTATGGATATACTGTATCTCTCAACACCCATATGAAACGGAACTGTCAACAGATTTTCTATTTCTTTATAGACATTTTACAAATCACTCCCCTTTTAAAACAAACCGTTTGAGACCCACTGAGATAACTAGACTAAAGTTAACTATCTAAACACTGAGAGTCCTTTACTTCACCTGAGCTGAGGTTATCTGAGACTCTCAGTCTGACAAGAGAGAGTTCTCCCTCCACCTTGTTGTTGAAAAAGCTCCTTATACCCGTTAGCTTGGCTAGCTAGCACCATACGCTAACCACAACGATCTCCGGTAGATACCCACTGGTGCGCGAGGCGAGCTCTCTCGCTCGCGCACGCACACAAATGGCTCGTGCCACACACACACACACACACACACACACACACACACCACACACACACCACACACACACAACACACACACACACACACACACACACACACACACACACACACACACACACACACACACACACACACACACACACACAGAGCAGGGCTTGAATGAAACACAGAGACCCAGAAGTAAGCTACTTGTACTCACGAGGCCTATTATGTGCAGAATCCCTCTCGCTTTCAGTTGGTTTTGATTGAGTGTCCACACGTGGACGTTTAAGGACTAAAAAACGATCCATTTGTCACTTTGCTGTTAGCAAATCATTTGGCGCTCTAGCTAACAGGAAGTCACTCAAGTGTCACAAAGTAATTTAGCCTATGGGTAGGTCAAAAATCGAATGGGTGCTGGCCATTGGCCTAATCATATCACCTGTGTTGGCTTTATGTTTTGGTCAAAAATGTGTTTGTTTCACATTTGCATGTAATCAATAATATTTCTAATTTAATACAAATAATAATAATAATTTTCGAAAAAAAAAAAAAAAACATATTTCTTGGGGGTGCTTAGGGGGTGCTTTGGCAATCCTGTGGGGTGCTTCAGCACCCCCTAGCTCCCCTCTGGCGCCACCCCTGTCCAGGAGAGGCCCACCTGTAAACAGTATCACCAAAAGTCAGTAAGGACTGCATGGAGTTATCCTCATCCTGTAGTAAAAACAACTTTGTCTTGGACAGAAAGCCTGATTTGCATTTCATTTTATTTGTGTGTCAATATTACCACTAGAGTTTGCTATGTGGACCAAAAAGAGAAAAACATTTACTGTATCGGTTTACTTTTAACCGATACACTGTATATAAGGAAGCATTTGATAAATGATTGAAAGATTACAAATATGGAGAAGATATTGTTAACACGTAATGGTTAAAAAACGTTACGTTAACCGTTTCATTTGGATGGTTATTGTGAAGTAAAAAATTAGGATTCTAATTCTATTTGGCCTTTGGTGAATTAAAAGCCTATACAGTATACATACTATTTTTATATATAGAAAGAGCTGCTAAAATGTGTGTGTGTGAGTGTGTGTGTGTGAGTGAGAGAGGGTAAGTCATCCCCAGAGAGAGGAGTAATCTGCAGTGTGATCTACAGCAGGAACCAGAATATCACCTTTGCTTAATTAAGCTTTCACAGCTCTCTAAATAGTGAGAGTAATTACAGAGAGCAGTCAAGGGACGGCCGCTCGGCTTCTTCTGTCGTCTCCTCTCACTCTGTCACACACACACACACACACACACACACACACACACACACACACACACACACACACACACACACACACACACACACACACACACACACACACACACACACACACACACACACACACACACACACACACTCCCTCTCTATGCATGGGTTTTCTTAAATCAACACACATACAACTAAACCTGGAAGGAAACAGTCCTCATTCTCTATGACCAGAGTTATTTATGTGTTAAAATACTTTGGTTCTTTGCTTTGCACCTTCAGCTCAATTATTTGGCATTTGCCATCTTAAATAAAAAATGTTTACTTCATTGTGCTTCAGATCATTTTCGGAAAAAACGTTGAAAAGCAATGTCAATATAGAAAATACTTAATGTGCCAAAACACATGCTAATTAGGAAACATCTTCATGAACTTGAAAACATATGTGCAGCATCTAGAACAATTCACCAACTTGAGGACTTGAGCAAGAAGCCCCGAACACAACGGAAACCAGGGGACTCTAAAAAGTGACGCACACAGCTGGGACCGGAGTGCTTGTTGACATTTGGGGCTAGCTTAACTAGCTAACTTAGATTTATCAGAAGGACTCATGCGATCCCATTATTAATCAGTGAGAGTTGGTCATCTTTATAATCCCTGAACCTCACAAAGCGCTCCAGTCCCAGCTGTGTGCGTCACTTTTCAGTGTCCCCGTGTCTGTTGTGTTTTGAGCTCCTTGCAGTGTTTGTATTAGCAGCGTTTTATTATAGTAATAATATTGGGAGGGATGAAACCCTCTTTAATGGTCACACATGCAGAGCACACTGCACACACAGTGACATGTGTTCTCTGCTTTTAACTCATCCTAGTACCAGGAGTCTAGTACCAGGAGTCGAGTACCAGGAGTCTAGTACCAGGAGTCTAGTACCAGGAGTCTAGTACCAGGAGTCTAGTACCAGGAGTCTAGTACCAGGAGTCTAGTACGAGGAGCAGTGGTTTCAGTAAACCACATACTGTCAAGTTGGAGAAGATGTTTCTTCATTTGAATGTGTTTTGACACATTTGAGTTTTTATACTGGCATCATTGGACGCGTTTGCATCTGTTGGCCACTGTGCGTTGTCCCTTTTACTAGATACCAAAAATCGCTGTACACCATCTTTAAACAGAAGTTTTTGTTTTTAAAGAAAAGTCAATTTTCTATTATATTTTAAGAATTGTTGAGAAGTTTCATGAATTCACATTTTGACTGTAAATTCTATCAAAAATAATTCATGTGTTTCCAAAACAACCTTTATCTTTAGGAGAGCCTCCCATCTCTCTCCACTGCACATAATAGAATGTTGTAACATATCATTATCTTGTTTATTGTTGTTATTGTTCAAGAGAACATACCATAATGTTATGGTCAAAAGTGTGCAGAATGTGCTTGTACAGCTGAATCCAGAGTCCTAATTATTGAAGAGTGTGTGGGAGCGTTTCTAAATATGCAAAATTGCTATTCATTATAAATTGGATACAAACAATCAATGATTAAATCCCACACGTTATATATATATATATATGTATATTAGTTTGCTTTTTCAATGACCTGGGTTCATTTATAAAATCACTTACATTAGTCATAAACAGCTTCCCTTTAAGACACTCAAGGAGATAGTCATACATATTCAGGAAGAACATAATGACATCATGTCTGTTAGGTTCAGCAAAGACTTTATGTTTCATTTTGAAACTTTCATAGATCACATACTTTCTAACTTGCAGTATTTAAGTGTGGCTCTACCAACTGAGTGGCTCTGAGGTCATACATTGCATATGGGAATATAAACACTGATCATCAGGGGTGGGAAACAAGAGGGAGTGATGAGTCATTGGAATGCATGCCTGATCAATGCTCATGTTAGAGCATGTATGCTATACATAGTGTTTCTTGTTTCTCTGATATCTTAACAATGTATCACTGCTTTTGTATGACAGACCAGCTTCGCCCCCTTGGATTTGATTATCTGTTCGTGGTCTTTAAGTCTTTGTTATGAAACACTTCTCCTAAAGTGACATCACCAGCACTTTTCTCAAATGTTTTAATATTTTCAACTTCAAGCACTTGGAGAGTTAAGATGAAAACGGTGGTTCACTCAAGAGAAATTACACAAATACGCAGCTAATAGATGGCATGCGCTCTCTCATTGAAAACAACAGAAAAAAGATGCTGGCACTCAAAAAAAGGCGCTATGGACACAGGCACACAAACAACAATTCTAAGATTAAACGTTGTATTAGTGTGGTCGATGAATGAATTCAGTAGCTGAAACCCTTACCTAATGAGCCCTGGTTGAATATAGTGGTTTTCTAAGTAACATTGATGGGGACCACTTCTCTGACTGAAATGCAGTATTGTTATGTATAAATGTGTCTATGTGTCTAACTCTAAGTCCCTGTCTTCCCCCTGTCAGGATTTCGACGGAGCACTCCCCCAAACTGCAGATCAGGAGCCACAGTTACCTTCGTGCGGTGAGTGAGGTTTCAATCAATAGAAGCCTGGATACCCTGGACCCCAAAACCCTCCTCGACCCCAAATCGCTGCTGTCCTCACCCCAATACCGCTCACGCAATGAAAGCTACATGAGGGCCATGAGCACCATCAGTCAGGTTGGTTGCCAACACTGATGCCTTACATTTACAGTATTCCCCACCCAGTCATTCTGCCATACACATCACAATCAGGCTTGGATGGAAGTGATGGAGTATGTGGGGAGTAGTGTTTACCACTTAAAATAAATCATTGACTTCCATTTTATGCCATAACTTTTAGGATCTGATTTATTCATCTGGGATGTGGTCATGCCGCCTATTTCTGTCTTACACCATCTTTAAAGGACGGGTTCACTGTTTTCCAAGACTTCATTAAAATATTCAATATTTATACTTAATACATCTTCCCCAAAGTGTCCTTTCTGAGACACTTTTACTGAAGCTTTGTTGGACAATTTCTATTATTTATTGTTCATCATATGTGTTTGCCATCATGTTGGTGGCAGCAGGTTCATTCAAAGCATTAATGGTGAATTATTATATAGCAGGCGTCTGGAGCATTCTGGGATGTTTTATCTTCCATTAAACACACCAAAATGAATAAAAGCACTATTTAGTTTGTTGGCTCTAAATCTGGTTATTGATAAATAATGCATGCTGGCATGGATGGGCACAACCTAAAAATGACCATCGAGTCATGTAAGCTGACTTTAAGTAGACAATTTAAAAAAAACAATACTTTATTCATGTGGATATATATATATATATATATGGATTGGCCAACACAAGTCCTTCCAAATGTAATTGCATTGTGACTATTAGTATAGTCTATTAAAAACTCATTTTTAAAACTTGAAGTAGCTGTCTTTGTCCACAGTACACACTCCTTTCACTTTACCACTGCTTAGGCCTAGAATAAATATTAGGGCACCGTTCGGATAGAAAAACAGTGAATTCTTCATTTTTTGATAATGGTTTAGATACTGTCTGAGCCTGTGTGGGAGGGTGAGAGTCATGTGTCCAAGTCCAAACCCATCCATCACATTACAAGTGTCATCTTAATGGCTATGACTGGTGATATTTTATACATTTTCTTTTTGTCAAAAAATATGTCACGACCTCGATACAAACGGATGAACCCAAATGCACGACCCAGAGACAAAGTCTTGAATGTAAAAAAACGTCATTTTAATTTCACAGTTCAGGTAATCCCTCTTAACAGAGTAGGTACTGGAAATAACAAAAGGCGCTCACAAGGAGGAAAAAACTAGCCATAACAAAAAGAGAACTTAAGAAAAACTTAAGCCAACAAAACTTAACAAAAGAAACAAAACCTGACATGAGTGAAAGTGATCCTTTCAGAGCTGAGGCTTGGCACGACCATTCGGAGAAACAAACAAGACGAACTGACACAGGACAGGGGAGAGACAGGACTATTTAAACATGAGGCGAGTGGGAACAGGTGGAAACAATCAGGGGCGGGGCAGACACTGATGAAGGCGGGAAAAACACACGAGGGGAGGAAGAAACAGGGTCTGAAATGAAAGACAAGAGGTAAATACAAAATAAAACAGGAAATGGAAAACGAGACATGACAATAAACACAGAGACTGACTAGAGATAAATGATCTAAATAAACAGACATGACCAGACGTGAAAAAACATGAAATGACAGACATAATACATAAACATAACTAACACATTTGACGAGACACAACAAAATATCGTGCAGACCAACACAAAATATATCCTAGTTATCTGACTAACAAGAAGTGTGTTTGTATTAAGCCAGATATATATATATTTTTTTTACACAGTAGAGCAACACACGTGGATTGATGGCTGTCTTCCATTTTGATAGAGAAACGTTTTTTAAAACTGCAGTAACCCACTGCTTCTAGAAAGTTACTGAGACTTTTTATTGAATAAACCTATAAATGTTTGACCATTAATCCTTAAAGATAAATGTCTTCATAGCCGAGAGCAGACAGGAAGTGAAATCAGAAGTATTGAGAGATGTTGGTAGGGGTCTTTCTATGTTGACGATAAGAAAACCTACAGAAATACGGCAGAAGAAGTGACAGTGCATCACATGTGTTGTATTCTCTTAAATCAACTTTATTATTACTTATATCGAGGAATGTGTGTGACCACATGGTAATTGAAGAAGCTGCAAACAGCACTGATCGTTATAGACTTATTGTTCATACATTTAAAGGGTTGCCCATGATCAAAACATTATAATTGTTGAGTCATGTTTTGAGGCAATTAAAAACAACATGGTGTTGGCAACATGTACTTTACCAAAGCCATTTGCACCTATGATTAACTCTATTTCACTCCCTCCTGTCAGGCTACTGTTAAAGCATGTCTTCTTCAGTGCATGAAGTAAAGCTGTGCTCAATAAGCCTTCATTTGTCTCCTTCTAACCTCACCTTGAACCTCCACTTGCTCTATCCTGAACCTTTCCCTAATTACCATTAACCACACTGAATTGCATCTATTAACATTTTCAATATCCTCCTCTGCATGGATCCAACCATAAAACCCCAGTTAAATACCTTACCGCCATATGCTCTGTGTTGCAGTTGAGAATTTAATTTGTTCTCAATTCAAGTCAATGTGAGTCAATGGGATTCCAATCATTGAGTTCAGTGATACAGGGCTTTAAAATTACAAATAGAATGCCTGCTGGTTATTCGGTGATGTGGTAAAGACAGAGAAAGAAAGCAAAAATGTTGCTTGTTAACATCAGATTGAAAAATAATAGATTTCACACAATAGTTTTAGGTCTATTTGTTGTGGAACACTATTTTTCTGTGTCCATGCAGTTTTTCTCAGCATCAGTTTTCTTTATTTTTTGCGTTTGTATCTGGTTTCGTAATTTCTTGAAACCAAAGGAACATGTTTGCCCCGTGATGGGATCTGAAATTCAAGATATGGACTGTGTGTTATTCTAAATGCAGATGGCACAGCAGTGGTATCCTCATTAATATATAGGAAAACAGTTTAATCAAGTTTGACAGTAAATCACTTACGGCCCGTCCACACAGCGGCGTGCGTTGAAGCTTCCAACGCTTCTGCCCATTCACTTTGAATGGGGTGACGTCACTTTTAGCCGAACTGCATCGTGGGAAGCGACGCGGAGCGTTGCTGGCGTGGCTCGCTGCAAAAGTTGAGCAATGTTCAACTTTTGACGCCTCGGCTGAAGCGTCAGCCAATCGAATCATATGCCAGTACAAGCTCTAGCCAATCAAACCGCTGCTTGTGTGTCAGGGGCGGGAGATTCATGTGATTGGTTGTTGGTCGAGTGTCAGACACGCCCGCCGGCAAGCGTCAACGCACGCTGCTGTGTGGACGGGCCGTTACAGTAACGCAGCTGTCGTAACGATAAGTGCAAGTCTGTTCAGAAACCAAAACTCTAATCTCTGTTTAGAGAATCTTCCTCTCTGTCGTCACACAACATCATCATATACACAGTAAACAGTACAGCATCTTAGTATTCATCATGTGTTTTTTCAACCATCAACTCTCCAAACTCTAAATATTCTATATATAAGTTTGTGTATTTGTGTCTGCGACTCTTGACCATTGGTTTAGGATGCAGCTTTATGTATTATTATTAGGGCTGTCAAACGATTAAAATGTTTAATCAGATTAATCACAGCTTAAAAATTAATTAATCATGATTAATCACCATTCGAACTATGTCCAAAATATGCCATTTATTTATGTATATTGTTGTGGGAGTGGAAAGATAAATGAAAGAAGGCGGATATATCCATTTCACATACAGTATCTATGTTTATTATAACATTTTTCTGCGTGTCAAAATGAAAGACAACCCACACACCTATCAATCATCAAACCGTGGGGTCTTCATTCATTACGTGTTGATTTCTATCAACGGGGGAGTACTTCAGGAAAGTCGACGGGGGGGGGGGGTGGGGGGGGGGGGGGGGGTGGCGGCTAGTGGAGTACTTCGTGACCACAGAGTGTGAACGTTGTGATCAGCTGTTTTAGCGCAGTTCTCCAGTGAAGGGGGGGGGAGTCTCCCTCCGCAGCCGGTTGGCGTAGTTTTGGCACAATTCCGTTGTACAGACCGACGTTAACAGCAGCCCTGTCTGTGCACACGGAGACCGATTCTGTCGTCCGGTGATCTAACCGCCTTCTGGAAAAGTTTCACAAGTAGGCCTACGTCGGTACGCAAATGCGCTTTGTGACACAAGTGACGGTACGCATTTCAGAGAGATTCCGCACATAACCTGCGTACCAGTTATGTGCACCCCTGTACTACAGCAAAAGTATTCTCCGTCGGGACTTCCTGCAACAACACCACGCCGTTATCAAAGATGTTCTATTGAGAAGACGATCACTACGTGACAAAAGTTTTCAAAACCGTGGCTACTGAAATCAATCTTACTAACTGCTGTCTGTGCAATTTACTCCGCGAGTTGGCAGACTTTATTTTGCTTACTTTAACATCATTTTTCATGGTGGGGCTAAGCCATTTCTTGGTATGGGTGTAGCCTACCCCAGCCATACCCTGGCGCTGCCACTGGTGGCACGTATGGGGCGGGCCATTCTGCACATGCGTTAAATGCATTAAATATTTTAAAGCAATTAATTCAAAAAATTAATTACCGCCGTTAACGCGATAATTTTGACAGCACTAATTATTATTTAACATATTTAATAAGGATAACCAAACATGTGTGAGTCGTCAGCATGAGATGAAGCAGGGGTTAGAACTACCACTTGGAGCAGATTCAATTCCCACCTCTTCATTAAATGGAAGTGCTAGAAAGAGATACGCCCACAAGATTTTTCTCAAGTGGGAGAAGTTTCTTTTGAGGTACTTATAGAGAACCGCACAGTGACGCATCCTAAAACCCGGATGTAAACTCCTTCCGGTTCCTTCGTCAAAAACGCAATGCAATTTCTCCATAGGATTTTGGAAAATAGCTGGAAATAAGGTCTGTGGTTGACACACATTTAAGAGACGGATCACGTTTTGTTCAGCCGGATAATATCCACATGTCTATCCTACTTATATAATTTTCGAAGCATAAATCTAGTCGCAAGAAGCAAAATGCTAACGTTATGCTATAAAGGAACTACAGCAGGGTCGCTGCTTCAATGTCACGCCAACTTAAAATCCATATTCAAACATACAGATTGTAAATGGTACAAGTTGAAGTGTTTGAACAGTTTGCAGGAGGCAGGTACTTGCTTTCAAGCAGAACAGGGCAAACAAACTTAGCGGGAGTGTTTTACGTGTTCGGTGTAATGACGTAAAACGGCCTGGACAACTTCTGTAGTCCTATTCAGCCACTTGTTAACAACCATCGTTTTTCAGACACGTAAACTCTTCAAAAATCACCAGCGGGGTCACTGCTGATGGATTTAATGTCGTAGAACAACACGTGGTCTGTCTCTTCAATTTGTGTCAAACACAGACCTTATTTGGAGCTATTTTCCAAAATCCTATGGAGAAATTGCATTGCTTTTTATCGAAGGAACCGGACGTGGTAAAAATTCTAACTTTTTTAGGACGTGTCACTGCGGTTCTCTATTCTCCTTCAGAGAAAGCTTATCTGGCAACTGGAACTCCGAGTGGCACCACATCCAATGTTCCCGGCTCCACCCTTAAATAATGCAGACTGAAACTCAAGTGGTGCCATGTGGTGTCAACAACTGAAATCTCCACCAACAATGGCGGTTACGGTCCAGCCCCCTGTAGCAATCCTTTCCCCTCTTCCTAGACGAGCCCCCAGGAACTGCGCCACTCGGTTGAGCAAATGTATGTAATGGCCAAACTGCGGTACTACAACTTCCATTTTGCCTTCATGTGGCACTGATAGCTCTCATAGGAATGGACGAGGGCCCGCCTCTGACACTGTATCCAGTTCTCTTTATTCATCTGAATAGCTACAGCCCAGAGCTGGTTGGAAACAGCAAGCCCCTCCCTCCTCTAATAAAATGCCAAACTCGGTTCTTCAAACCCCTAGTGAACAAACCAATAACCCTCAAACCAAGGAATCAAGCAGATGCCAGCAAGCATGACCTCCTTATAGAGCTGTCCTGAATACCATTTTTCGGGCTCCGGATATTCGGTAGTAATCAGCAGCGAATATTCGAATATTCGGCCCGCGCGGGGGGGGAGGGAGCGTAGTAATCAGCAGCGAACCGCTTCAACACGTGTATTTCGGTGTATTCATTTTGTTATTCTACAGTATTGTTGTTTTATAGTTATTTGTTAATGTAACCCAATTTGTGTTCTTTGAAATTGAAAAGGATGTTGCATTGTGTTTGTTACTTTCGTTGCAGTTGTATATGTCTATATGGACATGCTTTTATTTTTGAAGGAGAGGTAGCGCTGTTGACAGGAAGTTGTTGTTGCTATGGAAACAACGTGACGGAGATTAACGGAGAAAAGTAATATCTACATATAAAGACGGAGAAAGTAAACAATAACGTTTATGGTTAAGTGTTAGCACCCTCCAAAGAGGCACAAGCTCTTACGTTGATATTGGAGATTTCAATAAATTCAATTTGAAAAAAAACGGGGAAAAAACAAACAAAACGAATATCCGAATAACGAAATTGAAACCCGAATAGTACTCCAACGAACGAATATTCGGGTACAGCCCTACCTCCTTAAAGTATTTCCAATGTATCTCTTCAAGCTCAAACTTTGACAAACAATAGGCAGCCTCTTAATCGATAATAAATAACACCAGTCGTTTCACCAACTTCCGTCCTCTTTATTGTTCTCTGTTTCTCCCCTTTTCTCTCTCTGATGTCCTCCCTCCCCCTCCTCCAGCTGAGTGAGGTGGAGGTGAATGGGCAGATCGAGCAGGTGTGTGAGCAGGTCTACAGTGAGATGCAGGCCCAGGCATTGCAGGCTGCCATGAACCGCATGGACACCATGAACCGCATGGACACCATGAATCGCATGGACACCATGAACCGCATGGACACCATGAACCGCATGGACACCATGGACACCATGGACACCATGGACACCCTGCCTATGCCTGGATACTTCCGGATGCGGAGCCACAGTTATGTCCGGGCGATCGATCAGGGCTGTTCAGGGGACGAGGAAGGAGAGGGGGGGAGGCCGCTGCTCCTGCTGCCCTCCTCCCCGCCACGCACATCCGCCACCACCGTCAGGACCATCCAGAGCAGCACAGGTAGGGCACTGAGAGCCGGGATGTTCAGTCTGAATGTGTTGGGATTTGTCTTTTTATCCTTCGGTTAGGTTTAGGGTTAGGTTTAGGGTTAGGTTTGGGTTGAGGTTAGGGGTTCCTGGTTAGGATTACTTTACACTACAGATATCTATGTGTGTGTGTGTGTGTGTGTGTGTGTGTGTGTGTGTGTGTGTGTGTGTGTGTGGTGTGTGTGTGTGTGTGTGTGTGTGTGTGTGTGTGTGTGTGTGTGTGTGTGGTGTGTGTGTGTGTGTGTGTGTGTGTGTGTGTGTGTGTGTGTGTGTGTGTGTGTGTGTGTGTGTGTGTGTGTGTGTGTGTGTGTGTGTGTGTGTGTGTGTGTGTGTGTGTGTGTGTGTGTGTGTGTGTGTGTGTGTGTGTGTGTGTGTGTGTAGTTATATGTCATGAAGTTGGGGTTGGTTGTACCAGTTCCTGAATATGTGTTGGACTCTGGTTGTGTTCCAAGTGAGATGATCCTCTTCTATATTGAATGTGTCTTGTGGGAGGGCTGTGAGTGTCTGAAAGTATTTGGCTGTGGCTTTGTTGATTATTGTGAGGGTCAGTTGCTGTGTTGAGGTGGGATGTGGGGAAAAGTTGAGGAGGGAGAAATAAACATCTGCATTGGGGAAGGTGGTGCGTGATTGCTTAGACCAGTGGTCTTCACTGTTTTATACATGCGAGCCGCATTGATAGGACAAAGTCAATAAGAGAGCCACGTATACCGCAAAGTATGAAAAGCTGCATACAGTTATAATAAGCATGTCTGCTTATTAATCTGTCATCCTACCCAGAACATACAATATGCAATGCAGCCAACCAATACTGTAATGTAATGCGTCTTTGAGCACTCGGAAAAGCGCTATATAAAATAAATGCATTATTATTATTATTATTATTATTATTATTAAACTCTTCCATTAACACCCTGAGTACGTTTGCAGCTGTGTGTTTTGCTCCACCTTTATGTAAAAGAAACTGCAGCAGCTTGACCACAGAGCGTTGTGATCAGCTGATTTTGCGCAGTTCTCCAGTGTGTGCACGGATCACAGAATGTGCACACAGGGGAGTCTCCCACCGCAGCCGGTTGGCGTAGTTTTGGCACAATTATGTTGTACATGCTGACATTAACAGCAGCCCCGCCTGTGCACACGGCAACCAACTTTGTCATCCAGTGATCTAAGCCCGCCTCCTGGAAAAGCTTCACAGGTCCGTCGGTGACGGCATGTGCGGTTCGGCAAGTCCGAAAGTCCGAAGATTTTCTGCAGGGAGCAAAACGCCAAAGTGGCTGCTTAGTGTATTTTAGCGTTTTGGACATAATAGTCAAATAGTTTACTCCACTGAGTGTTGACAAGAAACACGTGTAGACCAAATATGTGTTTTGTTTTGATGACCTATCAGGTACGCAAAGGCGCTTAGTGACACAAGTGACGTTACGCATTTCAGATGTTTGCATGCGTTTGTTTGCATGTTTGCATGCGTACCTGCGTTATGTGACTTTGAGACTTGAAAAGCGCTATATAAATTCAATTTATTATTATTATTATGCCTACTGTCATGCGAGCCACCAATGAAAGCTTGGCAAGCCGCATGAGGCTCGCGAGCCGCGCAATGAGGAACCCTGGCTTAGACAGTGATGCAAAATCTTGGACGGTGTGTTTTGGGTTCCGTTTTTCACTGCTGAGGGCTAATAAAACGACAAGGGTTTCTGGGTGGTAGGATTGGGAGACATATTCTTAGGACTCGTTCCACTCTGGCTCCTGGATGGCCATCAAGTTGGAGGATGGGGATGTAGTGGGCCAAGCCGGGGTTCATGCCGTCTCCGATCACGAAGACGGCCTTGTTTCCGTTGAATCTCCAGTAGTTGGATGAATGATCTGTTCTTTCATTGTAGGACTGGGAGATGCTAATGTCAATGTTATTGCCAGGGGAAATTAGCCGTGGTGGAGAAGGAGGGGGAGAGGAGAGAACTCATTCAGTCTGAATGTGTTGTTATTTGTCTTTTTACCCTTGGGTTAGGGTTAGGATAACGTTTTCATACCAGAGCCTGGTGGTGTACCCTCAGCTGTAAGATGATATTATTACTATAATATGTAACTTGGCAGTAAATATCACTCCTACTGATAACAGTACCTTCGACTAAAGAACCGTGGTCACCTCAGCATCTGGGGTAGTCCGGACATTTCCAAACCACTGTAGAATTCTGAAACAGGGAAATGCAGCACATTAACTCCAGAACGGTATATAAGTAACATTTTGAAGCAATTGTAAATTATTTGAATATCTCCATTTTATGTTTCTTTGTACTTGTAGTACCTTTAGTCACTTTGCAGATTTTGATTAATGAGCACCTCCGCTCACACACAGTTTAAAAAGGACGGAAAGAGAAGGATTTAGGTCAGGGGTGCCCAACCTTTTTTGAACCGAGAGCTACTTTTAAAGTTGCCAGTCTGCCGAGATCTACCAGTCCAAATAGAGAGGCGTAGCCATTACTGACAACCTACTACCAGGTAAATACACACTTCTACTTGTATAAAACTGACCTCTGTACGATTAATACTTCATAAAATATTTATATTTATAACATTTCTTACCTCTTTCTAATCTACACACATACAAGTATTTAACTGAAGTTACACAACAGTGTTGTTGATACGGAGTTGGAGTTTATTCACACGTCACATACTACAGTGGGTAATGTTTTCAAGAAACATTGAACAGTGCTGCCACATATGACACAGGAAAAAAAGAAAAGACTCTGAACCCTTTCTTTGCCATTATATAAAAATAGTGTTGATACAAAAGTATAAATTAGGCTTACTAATAAGACAACTCAGATCTGAAGCTACACAGGAATCTGCTGCAGCAACAGTGCAATAAAAAAGACAAAATTAATAGAATCAAACCCTTTTTTTGTTGCATTTTAGTAGATTATAAAAATAAATGCCTTTAAAATAGGATACAAGCAACACTAGTTTCTTAACCTGAATTGATAATAGACTATAATCAATTTAAACAGAACAGATCTTAATGTGTGCATTCTTATACCATTTTGTATAATAATTATAATGAATAAGTTAAAACAAACTAAAACTTACAGCTGATTAATAACGGTATCTAACTTGAGTTTTTATTATATCAAAAACCTGTTGAAATGCTACTGTTATTTTTACTGTCCCCAAAAAGCGCGTCGGCAGCCTCCAGGAATGCTTCTTTCACAACTTTGCCGTCTTTGAAAGACTTCATGTGTTTCGCAAGAACGTGACTGACACGATAAGATGCTATGGAGCAGCCTTGCTCTTGTTGTTGGGCCTGGTGGAAATGGACTGCTGTGCATTTAGCTGTCCTTTCAGGCCCCTCCCCTTTTGGGAGTGTAGTGCAGAATTAGGAGGGAGTTCCGTCTCGTAGCGTTTGTGCACCGTTTTGAAATGCCGCTCCTAAATTACCCTTCTTCGATAAAGCCACGCTCGCATTGTAGATGAGACAGATGGACTTTGAATTGGAATAGATACAAAAATAATCATCCTCCCACTCGGAGTGAAAAATTATATATTTTGGGCTTTTTTGCTTCTGCCATAATTGCGGTCTTGTGTGTGTGCGGACTGTCACTCCTGTTGACACGGACAACGTCAGCAAACTAGTGCCCACTGCCCACCAGCCACGCCCCCACACATGGGGTCACGCCGACCAATCACAAAGCTTTGATGCGTTCATGTGCATTATTCTGGCACAGGAAGATTATGTTATAGGACATTAACGATAAAACAGAATATTGTTGTTCTATTTTTAGACACATCTCGCGATCGACTGGGAATCTCCTCACCTAAATCAGTGGTGCCCAACCAGTCGATCGCGATCGACCGGTCGATCGCGATCGACTGGTTGGGCACCCCTGATTTAGGTGAACCAACACAGGTTTATTGTCCCAAAAAGAAAGCGAAGAACTAGGGGTGTAACGGTATCCGTATTCGTCCCGTACCGTCACGGTTCGGACGTCACGGTTCGGCACATGCAGTCACACGGCGAATACGCCTTTTTTTTACGAGTGGGAAAAAAGTCTGTCATTCAGGGCAGTATCCACTACACTATATATAATCCAGGGGGCGGTATTGCGCCTAAAAGCTGTTTGCCAGCCACCCTTAAACAACAAATGAAGAACAAGAACAAAACGAACTAAATACAAGAAGAAGAAAAGTTAGTATGGCGATTTCATATAACACACAGGAGCTAGAACCCACCTGCTTCTTTTAAATCAGCTGTGTGGGAACATTTCGGGTTCCCTGTGGACTACAATAACGATGAAGTGTGCGAGTGGTGGATCGGACAAGGACGGTGTGTCGGCGTTGTTAGACAGCGGTGCGGTATGCTAATGGTAACACACGCCAAACATGCTAAATCATATCAGAAGGCATCACCCAGATTTGCCAATCACCGGAGCTCGGCAAAAGACAACAGCAGTTCAGCAGCTTATCCCCGCTGTTTTTAAGAAGCCAATAGGCATGAAAGCCGAGAGACCAAAATAAATAACGGAAGCTTTTGGCTTATTATTTATGATGTAATATTTTCAAGACATTCTTTTTAGTTTTACAGCTTGATGAAACCTTTTTGTTTGACATCAGCCATTATACTGTAGATAATATGGCCATCTGAGTGTGTGTGGTACTATTTGTGGTTTGTTTTGAACTGTTACAGTTAATTATTCAAAATGTCAGAGTTCCTTATTTTTAAACTGAAACTTGCACTACTGTTCAAAAATAAATAACAACACACCTGGAATTATGCATTTTGGACGTTTTTTTGTGTTTTCTTGTTGTACCGAACCCGTACCGAACTGTGACCCCCAAACCGAGGTACGAACAGAACCGTGACTTCTGTGAACCGTTACACCCCTACCAAGAACACAAAGAAACAAGTAAAACGGTGCGGGGTCTTTATGGCGTCCGTTTGTGCGGCCCAGACGTCCTCCCAGGACCCAGCCTACTGCAAGACAT